AAGTAGAAAATATTTTTATGTATTAACAATTTGTTCGGCTATCCAAGCTTTGAAAAATCTTCTGTAGACCAAAACGGTATCCATATAACTGAAAAAAAAAACAACACTTTTTTCTCAACCGATTTTTGATGCTAAGTATAATTAATTAGTGATATACTTAACTCAATTATTTAAGGACCTGCAATTTTTGTGACGAAGAAATTGATATAGAATCTACTAGTGAATTACCCGGTGAAGAACCATTTATAGGTAAACGTTGTCATTTTCGTTTTTTATCGGTATTCAGTTATAACAAAAAAAAATTTTTCTTCTGTTTTTCTTACTTATTTATATAAATAAATACTAAAACTGTATGTATATTAGTCGCTATAAAATTTCAGTGTTATTGTTAACTGAACAAAACAATTTAAGCAGTTCTTCTAGTATGCACTAAATTTTTAGTAATAAAAATGCGACAATTTTATTACTGTTTTTCAGAAGAACCATACGTTGAAGAAACAACACATTCGTCAGCTGAAGATTTGGATTCAAATGCTGAGGAAACTGAATTACCAGACCCCGAGTTAGTTGAAGTTACCAGACAACCACTCAGAAAACTTGATAACTGTGTTGATCGCTCATATGGTTGTGAAGGTATATGCTGTTATGATGCCTATTTTAAGAGTGTTATCATAGGTTGCTATATTTTTGATACTATTTATTGTCCTAAATAAACTACTTTCCATTTGCTTCTTTTTTCTTATTCTTTCAGCTAAACGTCATTTATGCCACCGACGTCAGTATCGATCAATTATGGCTAAATCCTGTGCAAAAACTTGCGGTATTTGTGGCAGCAGTTCTTATTCCAAAGGTTTGTACTGCTTGAACAACTTTTTGGTGTTTATTGTTAAACTTAATTCTTTTTGTCAATTTTCAAAAAACAACCAAAATTTTGGTGTAGTAACAGAACAAAAAATACTTTTAAAAATTTGCTATTAAATAGTCGAAAATTGAATAAATGTAACCAAAGTTTACAATAATATATTTAAAGGATCAATAAATTTGACTATTCCTTAACGTTATGTTTTTAACTTCTTTTTTTTGCTTGTTTTTTTGTTATAAGTAATAAAAAATTTTTTAGGACGTCATATTGATGGTTCACACCCATATCCACGGATCAGTAAGCCAAGTGTCGGTATAGTTTGCCGGGATACCTCTCATGATTGCATCACGAAAACACATTTATGTGATAATCAACAGTATGCAAGTTTAATGAAAAAACTGTGTAGGAAAACGTGCAATTACTGCTAACAGTAAAACTGTATTAAATTAAAATAGATCAACATCAGCTCCTTTTTTTCGTCCACTTCACTTTCTGGATTTCTTAGCCTCCACTTCCTCAACCACACCTCCTTTTTTTTCAAACGTCACCCTCCCCTCCTCCTGCATAGTCTAAAGACCAACCAAAAAACGTTGTAGATTACCAGACAATTAAGTGCTGAACTGCTGAACAGCAATTTCGGCCACTTTTTTTTTGCTGGTTTTTTACTTAGTTCACATGAACCACCTCCAACTTTTTTTTGCGTTTCCTGTTTGTTTTTCTCTTTTTTCTCTAAAAATTTAACCAAAAATTAAAAAAAAATTTGGTTTTCTGTATTTAACAGAAATTTGTTAATGTATAACAGTTTTGCAACTATTTGTTGAGTTGTTGATGATAATTTTAATGTATAATTTGCCAAAAATAAATGACCATTTTTGTTCTCTTAATAAAAGTTTTTTAGCATTTTTGATTAACCTGTATAAAATTTTTATAATTTATAATAGACGAAAACTGGTTAATAGTTGAAAGAAGGATCAGTTGTACAAAGCGACGCATATAGCAAATTTTAAAGTGTTTTCTGAAACAAAAATCTGTATAAACATTAAATAAAAAAAATCCTTAGTACCTAAATGGGTGATTACTATGTGCATTCATACTGCAGAAGAAAGGAAAGATCAGAACAGAACAATATTGAAGATCATCTGAATGACATAAATACAGATGCTCAGTTTGATGCCTTAGACTACAGCATAGCTCATCCTTACAGCTGCTAACCTATTAAATCAGCTACTAAATTCTGCTCGTCAGATGAACATATTATGAACACCAGAATTCTAAACGATAATAATTTTAGACAACAATACTGATAACAATTCCAGCACAAGAGCACTGGAAAACATTACTGTTAAAAAGTCGGTCTTTACAGACCAGATTATCTTCATTTATCACTGTTTCCTATATTTTACAGTTCATCCTTTTTGATCACCTTCACAATATGAATTTGAAAGTGCAACTCAGCATTTCCAGGAATATTCGGTGCTCGTCCTCTTTCTCCGTAGCCTAAATTAAACGTTTTCAATGCCTTATGAATGGGTCATATATTGAATCCAACTGTTATTTCAAAGAATTGTTGACAACAAAATCTCCTTGATATAAAATAATGGAATAGTGATCAAATCTTTCAATTTATTGGTTTCTAATTACGTATCAAAAAAACGCTGTTCATTATTATCATTTTGTAGTCATCTCAAACTGCAACGATTAAACAGTACAGTAATGTTTGCAGATTTTATAGACACTAGAAAACCTGCGAACAAATATTGTCAAACTCCTTTCTTAAATTCTTTACCTCATACTCAATTTTTTTTTTTCCATTAAACGAAATTGGATTTTGTTGGTACAGTTTTTTTTCTGTTTAATGTCATCTTCAACCTCCGTTCAGAAAATGATGTTTAACTGTTGTTAAATTACTAATACTTAAAAAAAAGCAGAAATTATTAAGTCGCAATAAAATTATCCGCTACATTACCAGTAAATAAAAATTGAAGTTAAGTCTACGACTTTTTTAATAACTGCTGTAAGTTTTTGATAGAGGTTTAACCTTAAAAATTTACAAGAAAACTGTAGGATTTTTGACATTAAAAACAAATGAGACACCAAAAGTAGTATTTTTAAGCACAGCTAATTTAACTTATTAACTCACTCGGCTCCTCCTGTTCACTGTGGACAGTCTAATTCAGTAACCAAAAATTATAGTGATTACTTGAAAAAGTCTCAAGAAGCTTCTACAAGTAATTCAGCCTCAAATTTTAGATTCTTAGAAAGATAAAATTGTAACTAAAGTTTTTAGTCTTCTGAAGCGAAAACTGTAACAGAGAAAATTTCTAGTACCCAATTTCATCACTATCATTTCACCAAAAACTTTTAAAGTTTTTTGTAAAAACGTAAGAGAATTTTTGGGGTTACACAACTGGAATGTCTACAATGAAGTAATAGTTAACTATTACGTACTTGGAGCAAATAAAATTTCAGTTTTTTTAGCAACTTTATTTAAAACCTAAGATTATCCCTTGTGTACATTGATAATATGCAGAAAAAACCTACCTGTGATGATATGAAACCGTCTTATTGTTAATGATAAGTTCAATGTTTAAACAATTTCCATCTGACTGACCAGAGAGATCATTTATTAGCTGTTTTGATAAAGTTACAAAAAAAAGAGTTACTTGTAGATCAACAAACAAATCTAGTTGTAGAAAGAGAAAACCCACCGAGTTCTGGAGGAATGACAATTTTTCGTCGTTCTCCCTCGCACATTCCAAGTACAGCTCTATCCATTCCCTCTATCACCTGGAAATTCACACAGTTGTTGTCAGAAGTTTCACTAAAAAATATCATATGAACCTTTTCAAAAGACTTTTCTTATACACATAAGAAAGACGTATAAAGAGGTGCAAGTAATTTCTCTGAGTGAAAAAGCCGAGAAATCTAAAAAAACATCTCTTGATGACTGTTTTCGGGCAAGTTTTATTTGGTCTAGACAGCTTCCAAGAAAACTGTTCTCAACTGCATCGGACGACAGTTATTTTTCAAGATGATAACATATAATTAAGAACATAATATCTTCGATTGCTAATACATACTCAGTAAAAAAAAAGCAAACCTGTTTAGCTCCAAGTTTGAAAATAAAAGGTTTATTTCGCTGTACACTTGAATCAATAAAAGTTCCGTCTCGAAGAAACAGTGTGTAATGCTGATGAACAACGTCACCAGTCTGGGCCTTCTTACATTCGTCATCAGGAATTTTGTGTGTTACCTACGTTAGGATAGCGACAATGGTATAGCCAGATTTTAATTTTGCTTTCTTAAATGAAACCCTTCATCCGCTGTTTGTTGGACGAATCAAACGTTGAAAGGTTCATTAAAATAGTATTACCATTAAAAGTTTGCTTTAACGAGAAAATTCAAATGAGTTTTATTAGTCTCACTTCAATGTAAAGTCCATCATCTTCCATCCAAGACTCGCCAGGATTGGGTCTAAAGATACTGTGAAGTTCAACAAAGTAGTACAGGGTGTCGTCGGGTCCAACTCCCTGAATAACATTTTCATCTTCATACATTCGCGCTTCTGGAGGGATAACAATACGTCGCTGTTCACCTTCGCACATTCCGCGCATTGCCGAATCCATGGCACGAATAGCCTCTCCTCTGCCTAACACAAACGTGTATCTGAAATGGCACTAATATTCCGTTTATTTTGCTTGACTGTTCGTCAGTCGTATGCTAATTTTCTTCTCGATTTTCCCCAATTATTTTTAATTGGAAATTGAGACTAAAAAATAATGATAGGTTAGAACTTTTACGGTTTGCCTTTGAAGTTCGTTCCAATAACCTTGCCATCCTTATCAGAAAGCTTATAGAATTGTTGTATCGTATCGCCAGCTTCACTTTTTATCTTGCACTTAGAATCTGTATATTGTATAACAAGGCTATGTATAAAGTTACTGTACAATAATAATAACAATTATATGATAGTATTATATGCTGTTGAAATATGATTAAGTAATTAATACAATCAAAAAAATGCTGAAAAAGAATAGCGGTGTTTTTCTTGTTACGTAATGAAAATTTTTAAACAATTATCACTTTCTTAATATCGTTTTAATGCTTTTTTTGCTATAACACTCCAACTTTTGCTACGAATTCGTATCGACTGTCAATCAGAACGATGTTCGGCAGTGAAATTCTACTATAATGGTTCGTTCACCGTAACCGAAAGCCTTTGATCTGATACACTGGCGTTAAAAAGCTTTTTTTTCTACTATCGTTTTAGGCTATACTCACTGCTAAGCTAATCACTTATAGAAAGAGAATATTTGACTTTAATTGGATGGAAAGATTGTACCAGGAATTTTTTTGATAATTTCAACCTCTACACCGTCTTCGTCTGTCCATGATCGAACGTCGGCTGCCTTTGCATACCAGCAAAAAGATATTACTAACAACAGCAATAACGTAGTTTGATTAGTACCCATCACTGTTCATAAAAAGAAGCAAAGAAATCAGTAACAAACAGCAACATTCGAATAAGGTAAATGAATTCGAACCAAACGAAAAAGAACTAGTCATAAAATAAATTTATTTTCTTTTTCTTCCTCCTCTTCTTGTTGTTCGAACACCTGCTATAGATGGATAAGAAAGAAAAAATTACGCATTCAAAATAGCAAGAAAAGTAATTTTTTTCTTATTTATTTGTCCCAGCAAATATACTCTGAAGAAAGTGAAAATTAGTTCGATAGTAGTATCATTTGTGGAAAAAATGACCACGAGTATTTTGTTCAGTTATTTCATAGAGAGGAGGAGTAAAGGATAGAGAAAGAAAACAGTCAAAAGAAACATTTTAAGGGTATTTCTATAACCAAAAAAAAGAGGAACATAACGGGAAAATGGGTCAACTTTTGTATTAAAGAATTCTGTCAAGTGAAGACACTGAGGAACTATCGATTAAAATCTTTGCTGTATTTGAAGACGGTTACGACGGTCATGACGAGGACGGTGGCAATGACAACTACTGTTTTTAGGAAATTCCACTTGGGCCACTTGACAACTGTTTAAAAGACTTGAACCAAATTATTGCAGTGGCTGCAGTTTTTGTAAAACAGTTTTGTAACATTGATTCTGAATGATAACATGAAAAAGACAATTGGTATAAACATGCTTCATACTCGCCAACTTAAACTTTTTTTTTTGCTAAAGATTAGGAGAAGTCATCTGTCTTTTAACTTAGCTAGCTGTTAGACAGGATTGCGGCTGTACACAGTTTCTGTGACAATTAACCAATAGGTAGAGAGCTTAAACTTACTTTTGACGGTGAATGACGACAATTTTGGATAATGGAATCCAGCGATTAAAAGCAGGCTCTTCACTTTTACTACTGTAGCCTCGTGTTTGTCAAATCTAGATATGATTGGTTTGGGCAAATAGTCTTCTGAAAAGCCTATTATTTAATCAAGCGAAGCTATCAGATCAAGCTACGCTAAGCATTTGTTCAATCTGTTCAGTAACTTTAGAAGACAGCGCTTTTGTTTGATATCAGTTCGCTCGGATTTTAAATGCAGTTTTTGTTTGCTCGCTTCCCTGATGAACTGCGGTCTTCATCGTTGAACTGCGGAAGTGCTGCTTAGGTCTGGCACAAAGCTTCATTTTATTCATTAATATCGTTTTCCAATTTCTTTTCGTAGGGAAGTTGAAGATAAAAAGCCACTGAAAGATGTTTTAATGTTTGTTTCACTGATGTCAAAAATTTTAGGGCTTTTGTGGAAACTGTGCACCAAGTACCGCCTGAAAAGCTGGAAATCTGCAAATTGTTTTTCTAAAAAAAGTGTCAGTAATTTCTTGCACATCGATACAATGTTGTTTCAATTAGCACTGTAAATCAGTGACAATAGAAAAGTGTTTATCTGACAATAATTATTTGCCAAAAAAAACGGTTGCAAATTACTTTTGAAGTTTCTTCTGTTATTAATTTCATACGCATGTTTTAGTGGGCTTGATCGAAAAGATTTAAAAAGAGAAAAAAGTAAAACAATGGAAAAAAAAAAGGTAGTACTGCGGTTGTTAACAAATGTTTGAAAAAAAAAGTAATCGAAACAAGAAAACTAACTTGATTTATTTCTTTGCGGCCATTTTTTTCTTCACTAAAGTTTTTGTAAGCGGATTGTTTAGAAAAAAGTTTTATACACGTCTAGTTGTTTTCTTTTCAATTTGTATACTCAGTATTTGCTTCTAAAATTCATAGTAAAACCGGCTTTTTATTCTTTGATTTTGCCAAAGGTCACAGCTCTGTAGAAAGAACAATCATTTCACTTAGATGTATTAATTGCATTTTATAATTTAGTGGATTAAGTAAGCTTTTTGGCTGAACAAGGTTAATTTTTTTCTGTGTGAACAAGAATTTATTATGGCGGTGTATGCCCATTGGTGGCCTCTCTTTTACTAGAAGAATATGTTATCGAAATGTTCTGGTGAACAAAAGTTCAGTCATAAGTTTCTGATTTTTCTAATTTATTCAAAAAGGTGCATAACATAGTGCAGAAAAAGAGCAACGACGATTAATTCCAAATTGTCGCTACAGGTGGCAAGAAAATAAAATCTGTCATCTGCGTTTAGTAGGTGGTCAGTATTAAAGAATGGGAAATGGAATAAACGTTTGAAAAAAATTAGCCGAAAAGCATTGGTGAATAATGGCTTGGGTATGGCGTTCATATTCTGTGTCCGTCGTTGTGTTTAGGCCTAAGGAATTTCGAAAACAATTTCTGATGCTGTCTGGGATCTTTGGCAAGTGATGCTGATAGCAGTGTAATTCGTAACTGATAGGTGACATTAATAGGTAAATCAGTTTTTACTTTATCTCCTTTGCATATTAATTGTTGCTGCCGAAAGAAGGGAAGGGAAGAAAACATACAGCAAAATAAGATTAAAATTAATGACTTTGCTGAAGTAGTTTTTTCCGTGATACAGAAGTTTAGAGTTCGCTTCTTTTTTGACCATTACGCTTGAACCAAATTTGGCCCTGACAAAGAAAATTTTATTCATACTGCTGCGGTAGAAGAAAAAGTTGTCGTTCTACTGCTTTCATTGAAAAATGTAACTGTATATTTGGCTGGATGATAATAGCCAACTGGTCATTGCAGTTTTTTGACTGTATTTTCTAGATTTGTTTTGAATTTTATTGCTTTCATCAAACAACTTAGTGCTTCTAGTCTTCTAATGTTAGCGTTTGGGCGAAGATCAGAATTTCAGAACAATGGGATGTCTCTATAGCATATGTGGAAAAGGGCATATTTTGAGGAAAATATGGCTGAGATACCGACATTTCAGTTACAGGGAATATTTTGTTCAAAAATGATTAATTTTCTTTGTCATAGTTTTCAATAAAATCTATGCATTTATAAATACATCTAACCAGTTGATCGATGATGTGGACTGGAGACGCCGTGTATGTAACACCCATTTTATTCATTAACATATGTACCTCACACATTATGATAAATTATATCTCTGCTGTCCACCAATGTACTCGTAAGTACTGTGGTGTCTGCTCTGACAAATATTCTTTTTTTTTTTAATTTTTTTTTCTAGAACAAAGATTTCTTTATTCGCTTCTTTCTTTTTTTTGTTCTCCTCAAAATTCATACTTTTATCAGCTTATTATGCCATTTAGTCATTAGGCATTGCGATTACGTTAAAATTTGCTGCTAATTCTGAACGGACTCATTAATTTTGTAGTTCTGCCTACCACACGGTGTCTTGTGTCTGTTCGTTAGACTTGACAAAATGCAATTGCCAGATTGTCTGACAAAGGTTGACCATCTGAACCTGGACAACAGACCTCTGTTGCACATCGATCCCCGCAATCTAAGCCAAACATATTCCGTGGTTTTATTTTTACCGGTGGTACACTAATTCGTTAAATTACTTATAATTGGTTAATTGACGTGCAAAGAAAATACCCCTTGAAAAAACTTCAAAAAAAAAAGTTCTCGTATTTGGTTTATCATGGACGAAAGTACTGTTTGTACTCATCAACTGTAAAAATACCAGAACTGAACATAACTAAGTTTGACTGCCTTTGACAGGTGCAAATTATGCTGCGGAGGTTTCACTGTTAATGTTACGCTTAATCTGACTGATTTCGATGACTCGTAGACATCGACAAATTCAGGTGGAATTGTTGGAACCAGACGAACCTTCCTTCGTCAAATGATAACTGCAATTGACCAGTAATTAGAAAGTAATACATATAAAGTTTTTCGGTGTGAAATTGAGTTCAAATAATTAGATGAGTAGTAACACAAAAAAAAAGCAAAAACAAAATTTTTCCTGATCTAAAAGTGGTTATTGTA